TAGCTTCTGCTATCGTATCTGCTGATGGCTGGTGCCGGGATTCAACTGCCCAAACCACTGGAAACATTTCATTATGTAGCTTCCTCTCACCTCGGCTAGCTGTCATTAGGAAAGCCACTGTGGAAACAAATTTAATACAGTTTGTGATGGCGCATAAGAAAAGACAAGAAGTTAGAGACACTTGAGCAGGGCAGAGTGAGCCTACAGTAAGCGGGTGCATTGTCAATACACAGTTGTAAAGCAATAGGAAAGTTAACACAAAGCCAGTCATTTTAATCATGATGTAGTAGTAATTCTAAATCATGCTTACATTAAAGTACTCCTCCCTGCCAGTGTAGATGGTTCTTCCCATCCTTACCCATTTCTCTTGGTGACCTATTGGCCTGAGCATATGAATATGTTTAGCATGTTCTTGAACTACCCATTATAAAATATTCTTGTATATACTCAAATGTAGAAACACAGAATATTAAAGTCAAAGGGAATTTAGGTATCACTTAACAATACTGTATCTTTTTCATTTTATTTCCTACCTTCTTCCATGAAACACAAATCTGAGCGACCACTGCTAGAGATCATGTTTAACAAGACCTGCCATAGAGAAACTTGTGAGACAGAGAGGTTAATGACCTTCTGAAGGTCATGTCAATGCTGAGAGTCTAAGTCAGGGCAGTATTGGTGATATGTCCAAATGACCCCCCCCCGAGGGTTTAAGAAGGATGAAACTCATAAACCACAGAAGGGGCAGGGCCTCTGAAGACCTTCAACCTTTGGACTTTAAGAAACTTTAAATGCCTGGTGTTTTATGAATGGAAAATGTGCTCTGGGTTCTGTCTCCCACTGTAGTATATGGATAGTTCTGTAACTCTACAGTGACTTCCCTTATCTCCCACAATTTAGCATAGAGATTTTCCAGGAGCACAGCTGTATTTTAAAGTCTGTGTGTCAGAGTTAGTACCAAAGTTAGTACAGTTAGGTCTCCAGGTGCCCAAACTCATGCTATTCCCCCAACACCACCTCAAATAACTGTTAATTAAATAGAACTCGTTCAGTCAAGACTTAACATTTTGCACGTCTGTTTTCTATGTCTGAATTTCTATTTATAAACAATTTAGTCATATGGGCCACTGGATTGGGAGCCTAATTAGAGCTGTGTAATACAATGTGGTTGCCTCAAACATTCGCAGCGCTCTCACGTGAGGCAAGTTAATTAATTGCTTGAGAAGGAACAGTGAATTGCACTTTCCTCATCAGGTTTGAGTTCATCTTGCAGTATATTCTCTCTAAAAGTCCCAAACCACATACTGCTGCTTGGCCATTTCTCTTTGCTCAGTGGCTGTGGAATGTGCTGCAGTTGAGGCAGGTGACAACTGCTGGCATACATGCCACTGGCCTTTGGTGACTTTAGGCATATTTTGCACAGGTCCTAGCTGGTTGTGACGAGTGATAACCTTGTATCTATCTGCTAGGGGTATCAGTATTCAAGGTTCTAGGCTCATTTCTCCTCCGTTTTGGATGTAGGCCAGAATTTAAATAAAAGAAAGAATAAAAAATAGAAATCAAACAGAAACTCAACCACTAAAGTCAAGGGCAAGTGAAATTGATTTTTAAGGGCTGGCTTCAAGCCACAGAAATAGGGAAAGTTGAGAAAGAAACTGTGCTTGAAGCTCTTGGTAAAATCACAGCAGTGCAGAGGGAGAGGTACATAATGGGAACCGTGGACCTCGATGCTTCATTTTTAACATGCCCAGTGTACTGAAGAATAAGATAACGGCATACTCTTTGAAAATAAAGAAAAATTGTTCCCAGAGAGGTTCTGTCTGCCTGAAATGTAGGCAGAGGTACTAAAATCAAGGGAAAATGAGAGAGTAGAAAGCTTGTATCCTGCAGCTACACATTTAAAATTTTTTTTTTGATTCCTCTAAAGTCAAGTAAATTGCACTGTGTGAAATAGGCTCCACAATAGAGATATTGTAACCCCACTTATATAGTGGACCAGCAACTATGTAAGATTTATTGAGAGACAACATTACCATGTGGTTAGGAAAGTTAGTTGTACAGCCAGAATGCTTGAGGGCAAACGTTGGCTTTGCCACTTACTAGCTGTGTGACCTAAGAAAAATTGCTGGACTTCCCTAATCTTAGTTTCTTAATCTTTAAAATGAGAATCACCATATTAGCATGTAGGTCACAGTACATAAAACAAATTATATACGAAAAGGGTTTAGGCAGTATTTATATACTGTTATGTAAAAAGTTTAGTATTTTCAAAGTATCAATTATATTTTAACTATATCTTTTAGTTATCTACTAACTTTCAAAAACCATCTACACAAAATATCTACATGGAGAAAAATTAATTTTCAGCCATACTAATGTTGACACAGAAATTAATTTTAGGTAAACTGGAAATGTAGGCACTTTAGTTTACACAACAAATCTTCTAGAGGAAAATTAGAAAACTGTGGGATTATGGTCAGGCAAAAACATAAGCAGGATATACAAAGCACTAATTAAAAACTGAAACCTTGGACTATTTGAAAAATTAAGACTTTCTGGTATCAAAAAGCATATCAAGAGGAAAATGAAACTGTAGAGAAAAAATAGTTGCAATACTATAAAGATCTATCCAGAAACTGAAAAAATTACTACAATCAGCAAGAAAGTATCAGACAATATGATACAAATCAGACAAAAGACTGGAAGAGTCACTTTACAACAGGCCATATCCAAATGACTAAAAAAAAAAAGGTGCTCAGTCAGTAGTCGCCAGAGAAATTGAAATGCTAGCCATGGGAAAATTCTTCATTTATCCAATGAAAATAGCTAAAAATAAAAAGAGGTAAAACGTGTTGTGAAGTGTGCAGAATAAATCATAAACTTATTACACAACCTCTAGGTTGGTAAAAGAAAAAAAAGTATTTTGTAAACCATTAGGCAACATAGACTAAAACTGAACTTGTATACATCATAAACCATACTAATTTAATTTCTTGAATTTTTTCAACAGGTGTATGCCCCAAAATACATGCGGAAGAATGTTCATGTTGGTAGTAGTATTAATAGTCTAAAACTGGAAGCAACCCAAATTCCAATAGCAATAAATTATAACATAAACCTGCAAGGAAATATTCTGTAGCAAAAACATTGAATAAAGTAAAATAATATGGACATAATCTCAAAAAAAAGGAAAAAACAACAACAACAAAAAAAACCAAGACAACAACAACCCCCAAAACCAAGCTGAATGAAATAAGAAGATATGCAAAAAGGAGGAAATTTGTATAAAGTCTAAAAACGGGCAAAATGGCTGATGGTAATAGCAGTGGGGATGATATTGTCTCTGGGAAAAGGGTTTGTTTCAAGTGAGGGCAAAAAGGATTTTTATGGGAGGCTAGTAATGTATTTACTACTATTATTTGAAAATTCATTGAGCTGTATGCTTACCATCTGTGAACATCTATATGAATATGCAATATTTCACTAATGAATTTTTACCTAAAAATATGAAAACTATGCACTTTAAAGAAAACATGCTGAATAATTAATGTGATGTTCAGGTGTTAATATTTGGTTCTGATGTGTTCACATCTGCACTAACCTCTGGGTGTTTATGGGTGTGCGCATGCCACTAGAAGGGAAGTTCTTTGAAGACAGGGATTTTTGACTTTGATTTGCTACTCCTATCTCCAGCCACTTCAATGTGTCTGATATATGGTAAGCACTCAATAAATATTTGGTGAATGCATGAATGAATAAATACTTTGTGTTTGATAAATTAAAGGAAAGTTAATTTAATACTGTATTTGTGGGCCAGGAAAATGGAATGGGTTCCTTCCCAGGGGGTATAAATATTATGATTGATCTACTTTTATGTTTCCTCCAGCCAGTTTTCTCAAGCAGTGTCTGTAATTGGAGAGAGTGATATATGAGTAGCAAGCAACAGTGGCAACCAGCATGCAAGGCCATGAAATGTAAAGAAAATTAATTTCTGAGCCCACCAAGACATCTCAGTATCTATCACTTAATACACATTCCAGCAAACACAATTCTAAGGCAATTTTTTTGAAAAAAAAAAAGCAATCTATTTTCCTATGGGATATCTCCAAAGAAGTTGGAGTTATTACAGGGAGAAGTTTTATAATAAACAAAAAGTATTAATAAAGATTAATAACAAGGAAAGACAAAAGACAGTGGCCAACTTCATGACCTACTAGATACGACACTACTTTGGAAAACTAGAGAAATGTTTCTGGTCATGGTCACTTCCAACTCATTGATTAGTTATTTGTATTTTTTCCCAATTTTGGCATTTTCTCAGGGAAAATATTACTAGGAAGTTTTAGCTTTCCCATCTTCTTCTTCAGCTAATTTTCTGTATATAATGAGGCTCAGGTGTAACTTCATGTTTCACCTGTATTAATAATGATGCCAAACTCTAGCTCAAAAACTCAAGTTTGACCTCTAAGTTGGCGTGAAAGAAATTTTCAATTTTAGTAAATTCAAAATGGAACAGATCAACCTGAATTTTCGTTAGGCATGAATGTGTATAATTTGTGTACAACACAGATCCCAACAGGTATTCAGGGGATAGCATCTTGGGAGATGGGGTCATTCAAGCAAGATTCTGAATCCATTATCTCTTACTCTGGCTTAGAGGGTGATCTTGGGCCTCAGTTTCCTGTATTATCAAACAGGATTAAAACAGCTAGCTTGGAATATTTAATGAGTTAGTATGTATATACCACAGGACAGAGCTCAGTAAGACTTTGACATTGTCATCGTAGTCATCGTCTACTTACAGATAGCTAGAAAGTAGACAAGTGCTATAAGCTCAAAGAAACTGACACAATTGTGATTATTGCCCGGATATTAGAGAACTGAAATTTAGATTAGCTCAGACTGAGCTAGTTTCATAGCCTACCCTGATGAATGAATCAGTTAGAGAAACCAGCTATGGCGGATACTATTTCTGGCTCTGTCACTGAATAGCAACTCACCACCATTCTTCATATTTCCGTCTGCAAAACGGGGCTGAACACTCGGAGTCACTGACACCAGCAGCTGTTGTAGCACTGCCCACCTTAGGAACTGGCTGTGGAAAGAAAGCACAATCAGCAAGGCAGTGGGAGGTAGGGAGGCCCTTGGGTTGCTGGTTGGAAGCCGAGAGCTGGAAAGAATTCTTTGATCTATCACCTGGAGAACACCAAGAGCCAGCTGGCCTAAGAAGATAAGAGAATTGTTCTTCTCCAGGGTGGGTGGTACCATACCTAATAAGGAACGGGGCAAGATGCTCTCAGCAAGCCGTACTTTTTACTGAGTGCCAAAGTCTGTACACATTTCATGTGGATTCCAATTTTTATCCTTTGCCACATTTTTGGAATTATTATTATATCTTCCCTGGAGGAAGTAACCACAATTTCTCTACCTCTTCTCAGACAATTTGTTCTACAAGTAAAGGATTAAAGGTGGGGGTAGAAACAGACATTGAACCAACCAAATTCTAAGGTTTAAAAGCAGAGCCTCTATTTAAAACACATATTCTGACATATTCCCTTTGGAAATAGCAGTAGCTTTGTATACATATATCCCTCACCCCTGCCTTCTTCTACCTGTGTGCTTGCTCTTCCTGTCATGCTCTTGTATTAGAAAACTGGAGGGTGGAAACCGGAGAGAAGGGGAAGAAACTGGTTTTTCCCCTGTAGAATGGCAGCAGTTTAGGAATGGGATTGACCGCTATGATAATTATATGTCAACTTGTCTAGGTTAGAATGCACAAGGTTTTTTTTTTTAATCGAATTCAAATCTAGATATTGATAGGCAGGCATGTTTTTTATTTGATAAAGATTTGAATCAGTAGAATTTGAGGAAAGCAAATTACCCTCCTTAATGTGGACGGATCTTATCCAATCAGTTGGAGGCTTTCAGAGCCAAGACAGGCTTCCATTTCTGATAACCTCTAAGTCCACAACCTAAAAATCCTGCCTGGGTCTTCAGGCCATTACTCTTGAGTTCAAACTCAAGACTGCAGTATCAGTCCCCACTTGCTCACCTCTAAAACTGTTTGAATTTTTATGAACCAGTTTCGTCCCTCTCTCTCTCCTCTGTCTCTGACCCCTCCTCTCCTATTCTAATAGAGAAGAGCTGGGAATTGCTGCTGATCTCATGCTTATAGCAAAAGGGAGATGTGCTCCTTCCCAAAAATAGTTGGAGGACTTTGAAAATGTGGTTTATTTCAAAACACTTCCCTTCCTGTCTTCACTCTGCTGTCTACCACTTGCCTATCCATTTTCAAAGACTACTGAGAGGAGCAACATTACCTGTAGAAATCCAAAAGTGTCCATCCTCATTAGGACATCAGTTGGACAAATCTGAGTATTTTGCTGGGCTTGGATCCTGAGATTAGAGACATTAATATCAACTCCTGAAAATGGAGCTTTGTTAGGATTCTATTGAGCCCTAAGGGAGGAGGCAGGGGAAGATAGTTTAAAAGGAGATGGTATAGGCAAGGAAAGGATGCCTAGAAGAAAGGTGAAAAAATACAAGGGAGACGATGTGTTAATTTGATAATATTAGTGACTAGTACTGCAGTATTGATAAACCCATCAAGTCACAAGGAGAAAAATCCCAGCACATGCTCAGGACCCAGGCAGCAAACGTAAGCTGGATGCCAGAGTGTGGCATTCCCAGCCATCACAGCTCACTTAGACAAGGAGCCACCTCATCAACCCCACAGGAGCTCCGATTTCTTGATAAAAGAAGAGACACTTCAGGGTCCTTCAGCTTTCTGAGACCTACTCGATTTTTCTATCCCCAGCTCTGTCATTGCAAACCTCATCACTAGTACGTAGGGTTCTTTGCTTGGCAAAAACATTTTAAAAATATTTTTTTCTTGTAGTCTTTGGACTCTTGAAATTCTTTTTCTCTTTAAAAATAACCACCTTTTATTCAGTTCTTATGCTCTTATCCTCACTGCAGCCCTTTGGAGTATAAGTATTGCTTTGTTTTACGGATGTGGTAACCAAGAACAGCTTCCTGATGAGTCAGGGGGCAGATTGGAGCCCCTCTTGGCAAAGGGCTGGTATTGTGCCACCCTTGGGAAATTCTAGAAACAACAGGCTAAGAAACCTTGGCCTGAGAGGGGCTCCAGCAGGGCCGGGGACACAGTGGGAAACAATGGGGCAGAGGAGCTTTTTAAAGCGAAATCCAAGGGATCCTTTAATCTGTGAATTTGAATGCAGACATGACATTAACAGCACGTTAACTCAGAATTGCTAACTCGTGGCTCTTAATTAGAACTTGCATGTCTTTACTCTTTGACAGAGGCAGTGAATTCCAAAATATAATTAAACCCTTGTGAGGAGTTCGCATCATACTCATTTTACAGATGGGTGAGCTGAGGCCAACAGTAGGCAAGTCTCAGAAGTTAACTTCTGAATGAGTGGAAAATGTTAGGGAAGCTCTGTGTCTCTTTCTGGACCCCCACTCCTAAAATTCAGGGCAGTGGTCTAGAATTTTTAAGGAAGGGGTCATGACTGTAAAAATTTCACCCTTAGTCATCAGAATATTTAATGTAAATATTTGAGAGACAGAAAACAAGCCAATTCAGATGTGCTTCAAGCTTCTACATAGTTGGCAGTGAGCTTTTTCAGTTTCTCCTAACTTGCTTGGTCATGAGATTCTCCTGTGGCATTTGTTCACAGCTTTTCCACATTTTCCCTGAGAGATTCTGATTTGATAGGTCTGGAATGGGCCTTTAATTTTTAAAACTTTCCAGGTAAGATTTTATAACCAGGCACTGGACTGATTAATCATTGTGTATGTACTTTTAGAACTTATTGCTATTATTTGAAATTTTTGCCTGGCACTGAATTACCTTCTGTCGGGCATACTCAGAACGCAAGCAACAATCTCAAATGTCCATTTGTTCCCCTTATTCAGTGCCGTGGAGAAATCAGCAGTTGTTTATTCCATACCCACTCCACCATCGGCTTTAGCTCTTTGGCCAGGTGTCTCAGTACTCACAAAGACGGCCAAGGGAGACAGACAGTGAAACACTAGATAGCATCTAGAGATTGGCACCAAGCAGTCTGATGAGAAGAGGTATGAAAGCAAGTAAATCTGACTGAGAGGAAAAGGGAAGCATTAATCATAAGATGATGATCTATAAACTAGGCTTTGAAGGGTAAGCAGGAGTTCTCCATTGGGGCACAGTGCAGGGAAACAGAAAAGCACGAACAAATGAATATATGTGCATCTGTACCCATGCATGTTAATCATGATTCTTTGGAGGAAAAGCAAATGCTACGCTATGACAGGAACATAAATCTGTGGTGAAGAATGGTAAGAGCTCATCTGCTTAGGGGGAGTTAAATGTCCTTGTACATCTCACACATTCACTCAATACATAGGCAGTAAGTATTTCTTGCAGATAAGCAATGTTTTACATCCTGAGATTTATCAGTTGTGAACTAAATTTTTAAAATGCTTTTCCTTAGGAGTTTGTTTTGGGGAAAAGAAAATCAACTATACATACAATGTCCTCCAAAAAAATAAGCACGCACTTTAGAAAAAGAGTGGAAATTTTTCAGCAGAGGGTGTTACTGTCATATAGAGAACACTAGAGGATGTTGTATATTGCAGAAAACCCACTACCCTGCTGTCTCTCAGAAATTGAAAATACATGTGCAGCAATCTCAGTGACCAGTCACCCAAGCAGCAATCTGTTGTACTAACAAATGTGAAGACACTAATGGCCACCACTTTGAGTACCTCTTATAATTGTGGAGGCCAAAGGTAATCTTTATTAATCTCATCTCCCAATAAATTTACTATTTAGAATATTTATACAAATTTTTTTTTCTGACATGTGTGTACATTTTTTTGCCACTCTGTAAATATATAAGATATATAACACATATAGTATATGTCTGATCTATTATAGTACATATTATATGTAGTGGTATTTCAGTTCACAAACTTAATTCCTTCCACAGTTCTGGTCACAAACCAAAATGGATGAGAACTGAATAAAATTTCCCCAGGAGGTCAACACTGAATCTAACGATTGAATTTGATTCAGTTCTCTTCAAATTCAGTTTGTGACCAGAACTATGGAAGGAAGATCACAAGGAATAAAGGTAAGAGGAAGACTAGAGAATGCCCAGTGGTAATGGTTGTGCTGAGCAAAGCCTTGCTGAAGAATTCACATTTCGTGTCCTGGAAGAAGTAAGGACATAGCCATGTGAGGGAAGAATGTCCCAGAATGTTCTAGACAGAAGGATATGTAAAAGTAAAAGCCTTCAGCAAGGAATGTATGTTGTTTCATCCATGAGCCTGCTCGGAGAACAGGGTTCAGGGGCCAAGGCTGGGAGGGCAAGGTGGTGGAATCACCACACAGACTCCTGGGAGATTTCTGGAATACTTCCGCCTTATTCAGCAAATGCACAGGCTTATATAGGGCAAGGCGGGGAATGGAGCCAGTGTGGTGCTATTGGATTGCTATTGGATAGGGTAAGGCAGGAGAAGAACCAGGGTGGAGTCAGGATATTTGGCACATCGTGATTGGCCACATGGTAGTTTTAGGATTGTATGCTTTGGGGGCTGAGGCGCATGGAGTCAGGACTTCAGAGGATTTGGAGAGGAACTGTTTATCTGTCTAAAGTCAGGTACACTGACTACACACCTCAGGGGGCGGATTATTCCAGCCCTAATAGGCCTCGGAGTTTTCTCACAAGAGATGGGTGCGGTGCTCCTGACTCAGCCAGACATTAACCTGATCCTCAGTTCCCCCTTTTGTCTTTGACTGCAGAGCCTCAGCCAAAAGTACCGCATTTTTATGATTTTGTTACTATCACTCCTGATCTTTAAAATAAAGAACAATAACAAGAGGCCAAACAAGGTTAATATATATGGGGATCCCAGTATCAATCCACGTATCCAACTACTCAAATTATTCCATCCAGCCTGGATTTTTGACCAGATGGTATCCCACACATTAAAGTTATAACATCTAACACCTGGGTATTAATTGCTCCCAAACCAAGTTTAATTGGATTTGTAAATTGAGTAAGGCTGTGCGGACATTCTTGAACTAGCAGGGCAGTCTTTTTGAAATCTTGGGTGATGTTTTTTGTTAGCTGGTTGACCGTTGCTGCTGTTGCCACTTGATTTTGTGAGGTGACTGTTGCCATTGTTGTGGGGAAATAGCTGCCACCGTGGAAACGATGACAGCAATAAGGGCGAAAATTTCAAAATCTTTCTTACTGCAGGGATGAAGCATAAGGTTAAAGAGAGGATCTGAATTTTGTCATTCCATATGGAGATCAGCAGGGACCCAAATGGCCGGGGGTGTTCTAGCAAAATATAAACTCCAAGTTTCTGTATGATTAAACAAAGAAGGTTAGGTATTTGGAGATTTGTCCAGGACGAAGTAGAGACCGAAGGCTCTGGGGCAAGAAGGCTGTTCCTGGGCACACAGCAGCCCCCTGGGACTGCTCAGTGCCAGCAGCCACAGGCCGGGGAGCAGCCAGCCCCTGTGGCCGCATACTGGGGGCCGCGGAGCCCCCATCTCGCTGGCCTTCACCCAGCACTTGCAGCCCTCTCGGCCTGCTGGGCCCTGACGCGCCCCAGGGAGTGGGGCCGCAGTAGGAGGCAGGGACGGCGGAGGCCAGGGAAGGCAAAAGGACACCGTGTAGCTGCCGCACTCTGTTGCTGACCAGGCTCCCCTCCCGGCTCTGGGCAGCAGGCCCCGGCGCCCTGGCACCCCGAAGCTGCAGGACTTTTGCTCTGAAACTTTTCCGGAGCACTCAGCTGCGCTGGACCGGGCTTCGGAGGAGGCTGGGCGGCCCAGAGGTCCAGGACCCCGAAGCCACGCTAAAGCCCGATCAAAGGATTGTTTCTCCTCATCCGACAAGTAAGACAGCGGTGCACAGGGTGGAGGCCACCATCTTGGACCGGAAAAGGTGAGGACGGGGTTTGACAGGAAGTGAGAGACCAGCGGGTGGGGTGATGCCTTTGCGGAAGAAGAAAGCAGAAGAAACAGCCTGCCCACGCCATCTTTTTTGAGAAGCTTTTGTCCCCCATCTTTAGAGTGCTCAGGGAGCCCTACACACACCTCAGTTTGGGCTGGAAACGCCTCGGATGCCTTTACAACATGAGGACCCTTTACTAAGGAGGCCTGTACCTGCCGTTCTTGACTCATGATGTTACCCATAATAGGGATCCTTACCACTCAGTATACGTGAGTCCCCTGTTTGGGCGCCAATTGCTGTTTCCATCTGTGAGCCGAAAAGAGTTCAGGGGCCAGGACTGGGAGGGCAAGGTGGCAGAAACACCACGCAGACTCCACGGAAGTTTCTGACACGCTTCCGCTTTATTCAGCAAATGCACAGGTTTATATAGGGTAAGGCGAGGGTGGAGCCAGGGTGGGGCTCTTGGATTGCTATTGGATAGAGTAAGGCAGGAGCGGAAGCAGGGTGGAGTCAGGCTATTTGGCACATCATTATTGGCCACACGTTAGTTTTAGAATTGTATGCTTTAGGGGCTGAGGCGAATGCAGTCAGGACTTTAGAGGTTTTTGAGAGGAACAATTTATCTGTCTAAAGTCAGATCTCTACACATCAGAGGGGGTGGATTATTCCAGCTCTAATAGGCCTTGGAGTTTTTTCAGGAGAGATGGGTGCGGTGCTCCTGACTCAGCCAGATTTTAACCTGATCCTCAAAAGTACTTAAGTATCTGAGGAACACAGAGGGAGGGCGTAGCTGGAGTGAGGTAGGATGGTGTGAAGAGTGTGAGGAGATGAGGCTCGTAGCATAGCAGTAAGTAGAGGACTATATTAGAGATTTTTGTTCTGAATGAGAGGGAAACCACTGGAGGGTTTTCAGTAGAGGAGTGACAGGATCTGCTGTGATGAAGACTGCACGTAGGGCCTGAAGGCAGAAGGTGTGAAACAGAGAGGGGATAACAGCAATGATCCGGGCATGTGACAGTCATGGCTTGATCCACTGGAGATGGTGCAAAATGGTGAAATTCTTGATTGCCTTTGGGATTTGTTAAAAGCATTGGATATGGACATGAGAGAAAGAGAGAAGTTGAGGATCCTGGGTCTCGTTCTAGAAACCATTGTAATAGTCTTGCCTGACCTGTGGTTTGTGAACTCCCTCTGGTCACAGAACAGAGGATGGAGGGCAGGCAGGAGACCATTATAACAGGTAAGGAGAGAGATAAGGAAAACTATCCAAGCCTGTGTCTGTGAGTTGCAAGGAAAGAATTGTAGTAAAAGAAGTTTGGGAAGAACAAACTATAGAATTTGGTGACTAATGTGTTGGGTGTGATCTGTGTATGATGGTAAGAAATACATAGATTCATGGTAGGGGAGAGAATGAGTGTATTAGTCAGCTTTACCTGATTCAGTTTAGAGGAGGAGAAGTTTATTGTGGCTCATGGTCTTGAAGGTTCAGTCCATCATCAGCTGGTTCCAAGGCAGGAACGTCATGGCAGAAGGACGTGGTAAAGCAAAGTTGCTCAGGTTATGGCAACGGGAAGCAGGGCAAACGGGGGCGGGGGCGATTCTCCCAATGATACACTTTCTCAACTGGGCCCCACCTTTTCATAGCACGTTGAGCTATGAACTCATCAATAGACTAATCCCCTCATGAGTGTAGCACTCCCGTGATTCAACAACCTTCTAAAACCCCTCCTTCTGAACACATGAGACTTTCTGGGGACTTTTTATATCTAAATCATCCCAGTTGAGTTTGGCTTTTACACTGTGAACTTAAAATGTCCGTGGTCTTTGGATGAGAAATACTTTTTCTTAAAAATGTGAATAATTTAAGCCTGTCACTTGGGAAGTAAGAAATAGCTATGAGGCTGTGGGGCCTGTTAGTGTTTTTCGATATTGTGTACTACTTTTACAATAAGACTTCTAGATCTTGCCAAGGATAATGATTTATATGATATATGGTCTTCACACCTGCATATGTGAGCGCCAGGAGAATTAGGAAATGGCTCTAATTGAAATCATCTGGCAGGAATGACTATGCATTTACAGGTGGGTAGAGAAGCCTACTGTGGGATGTGAGAAGTTTCCCCATCTTCTTGCAGTGGTCACACGCTAGGAGGACAGTGTATTAGCTATGAAGTTTGTCTTTCCTCAACAAGCGTGATAAACACATGTATAAATTGCCTTTGTATTTTAAAGCATCGTATAGGGATCCTCATAAGAATCCCTAAATGGGCCTCAAGGCTCCCTTTCAAAGCCATGTGGCATTTTTTTCTGCCTTAGGCAGGATCATATTTAGGATCAGAGGTTATTAATATAAATTTTTTATTGATGTAGGCCAAAGTCTGTCTTCTTTTTCCTTCATAATAAATACAAATTCTTTCTTTGAAGCTCCTTTGTTTGGGAAGTTTGTCTCCCTCATTTGCACACAGAGATTAATCCCATGTTTCCCAAATAAATGGGAAGAAACAGCTAATGGAAATCTGCCCCGAGCCTTGTTGGGTTAAAGCTTTGGGAAGTCACTAAAGCATTTCATGTGGGCAGCAATCTTTGCCCCAGGAAAGGTTATTACAGAGGATCACGATGTCCTCTCAGCTGGCGGAAGAATTCCCTGTGGTCACTCACAGTGGCTAATTGGTGACTGTTGGCTGGAGGCAGATTCCCTCTGTGCCCATTGCTATCATTTACTTGCACCAGCTTTGGAGTCCAGGTCAGTTCAGAATATCCACGACTGTTACCCAGGCTAGGGACCTATGTCGTATCTGGAAAGGTAAACTTTCATCTTCCTGCAATTAAAAGAATCAGTGCCATCTAGCCCAGAAAGGGGAAGCATCCTTCATTTTGGCAACTCCCAGTAGCCATCAGCTTTTTGGGGCGCTTTCATAGCTAATGATTCAGATTATCTTTCTTCCGGGGGGCCTAAAGCAGGATTCGGGGCAGTAACTCAAAGTGTTTGTTGATGGCAGGGCAGGGGTTGGTGGTGCTGAGCTGCCCCCTGGTTCTGTCGCTAGAGCCTTCAAGCAAAATAATCTTCCTGGGCTCCATCAGCAGCAATGGCTACTCTATCTCACCTCAGGGTTTTAGTAAGGGGAAGGTGAAAAATAGATCTAAAATAATTTGAAAATAAATGGAACCTTTTGATGTTTACTCAAAAGGGGAAAAGAGGAAGATTTTGCTGGAGTATTTGGTAGGAAAAAGAGGAAAGAATCAGCTTGGGAATAAGGGGGAGGTTTGCACAGAAGGAAGCACAGATAAGAAGAGCAAGCAGGATACCCTCTGGTGGACAGTGGTTTTCTAGAAGGGCTCCCAGTGACACCCACCTATTGGCCTTCATGCTCCTGCACAATCCTCTTGGCTGTTAGTTGGCTTTAATAGCCTCTTTCTAAGGATCAGAATGTGACCAAAGGGCTGGGACATCACCTTTGAGCTCAGGTTACATCTGGCTGACACTTTCTCATGCTAATGCTCACCTGGGAAGGTGGCTGCCAGGCTAAGAGAATACTTTGGGGAGGGTCACATAGTAAGTAACCAGAGTGGCCTCCAACCAACAGCCCAGGAGGAGTCCAATAACATGTGACAAACCAGAGCTTCCTGACAACCACCATCTGGGCTTGGCAGCAGATCCTGTCCCAGCTGAGCCTTGAGTTGAATGTAGCCCCTGGAAGGATGTGGGTCAAAGCCTTGAAAGCTATTGGACAGAGGGAGAGAGAGAGAGAGAGAGAGAGAGAGAGAGAGAGAGAGAGAGACACATGCAGTTCAGCTGTGTCAAATTTCCTAGCCCATGGAATCTGTAAGATAATAAGTGGGTGTTGTATGAAGCAGTGGTAATTGGGGTAACTTGTATCACCACAGAGAACTAATGCCCCAAGTACTTAGGAAAAGCTAGGTTGGTTTTGGAAATGAAGAAACTTATTGTAATGGGCCTAAAATATTAATCATGTGACCCTGATACGGAAGGAAATGGGGGAAAAAGCCTCCCCAAAGCACTAGAATGGAGAATAGAAAAGTATGGAAATAAACAAGGCAAAAAGTGAGGGACTACTGATTCAGATTTGGTATGACATGGAATTCAGCTACCATCACTAGCGTTTGGTAGAGACTCAAAGGTATGCAAAGGAGGGGAGAGGTATACAGCGGAGTAAAGGGTCCATGCTAGTTGGAAGTCCCTGGCCTGGGGAAAGGGAAGTGGCTTCCTAGAAGTAGGACAGCCTATGTGATTCGGTAGTGATATAGCTGGCTTTCCACAGTTGTTCCTTAAGTTGCAGTATGGACAAAAATCAGTGCAGCTGTCAATTATTAACCTCGACCTAGCCACTTGAGAGCGATTGTTTCAGGAGTTTCTGTTTCACTTCCTGCATTGCTGCTACAAAAAGTGACCTGGCTTTCACAAAATTGATTACAGAGAGCAAGCTGGCTTCAGGCCTGGTCGGCACAGAGAATGGAGTGGTTTCCTGGGCTGGCTGCTGTAGGCTGTGGGTCGGTGTTTGCTTTATATGTGGTCTGGCCGCTGTCCGTTTGTTAGTCAGTCTCTCAGAAGGATGGATAACTCCTAACAAATGATATGCCTAAAGTACATCAAAAAGATCCTCACAAGGGTTTGACATTACAGCCAAAGGAAGGGGAAGGATGAGGAGAACCTGCTAATTTTTCCACAGAGAGTGGTTAAGCAATACCACATTCAGAAGTCTAGGGCCATGTCTCATCACTAGTCTTCTTTACGTTGCTACGTTGCTTATTATCCCTCTTCTTGTCCTTCCATTGCTTGGACCTGAAAGCAATTTGTGAAACTATTTCTATAACACAGTCGGTAAAGATTTCTGTCTGCTTTACTTGGCCCTCCGTGATGTGCTTCTCCACGGAATCTACGTGCAAGGGGACATGGGCCACGCAGCCCTTCTTTCTGGAATCAGTTAAGGGAGAGTCTGTGTCTCCGTGAGCTGGAATGAGTGGCCGTGCCACTTTCTTTACTGTCTCCTTTTCATACAATGTCTTGCACAGTCAGACTGTGTAATTTTTTTCCTTTGCTTTTTACCTGATACTTAACTAGAAAATTACCCTCCACATCCACACAGGAAGGTAAATGCTATCTCATCTCCTTGGTCGAATAAAATAT